TACAGGGGCTGGGCTATCCTCATGAAACAGGCTGCAGTGGAAATGGACCGATGCAGACGTTCTGTGGGTAGGACACATGGGCCCTTCTCGTGGACAAGGAGACCCGAATGGTATGACGAGTTTGTGATTGTATTATTTTTCTGGATTTTTTTTTATCGTACTCAAAGCTAGTTAGGCTTGTTTTGTTGATTTCTAAATTGATGTATTTATCATGTATAATACTATACATATATAAGAAAATTGATGTATTATATAAACGTCACATTTGGTCACTGAGATTATTAAATCATGTCATGTTTAGTCACTAAAAAAAATTAATATCAAATTTGGTCACTCGAATTATTACAATATGTCACATTTAGTCACTCTCCCGTTAGTTTCCATCCAACTCCATTAATAAAGTTGGACGGAGGCTAACAGATAGTGATTAAATGTGACATGTTTCAGTAATTCAAGTGACATTCATAAAAAAAAAGTAATTCGAGTGACCTGAGTTGGACGGGGGGCTAACGGGAGAGTGACTAAATGTGACATATTTTAGTAATTCGAGTGGCCAAAATTGATATTAATTTTTTTATAGTGACTAAACATAACACGATTTAGTAATCCTAGTGACCAAGTGTGCCATTTACCCTATATTTTACATGGATTGATTTATATGATAGTTATTGTGGTATTTAAATAAGTTATATACTTATACAGTTATATATACTTTTTTAATGAAATGTCACTTTTACTTTTTGTTTTTAATACAAAGAACGCAACACAGATGTAGTGATATAATTGTAACAAACAAAAATCCAACAATCTCACTTAGCACATGAGATTTAACTATCATATGAACAGATGTAGTGATATAATTGTAACAAACAAAAATCCAACTATCTCACTTAGCACATGAGATGTCATTTTTCCAACTCTTATGTGATTAGCAAGCTAACTGCTCCCTTTACTAACAAGGACTATATAATATAACACATGCTAACCGTATTGGTAACTATCTCGCGACATATTATTTATATCTTGGTTTGAGAATTATATATACACAATACATATTGGATGTCCGATCCATATAGAGACCCTACTCATATGCAAATTGAAGCCAAGAGCCCAAGACCACCTTGTTGATGGATGTGACAGAACCATTGAAGTGCTTATTAATCCAGTAAAATATAATTAATAAAAAAAGTTGGTGATTAAGAAACTAATTAGAAGATACACGAAAAAGAATAGTATCTAATCAAGCTTTAGTTAAAGATAAGTGGCTAGGGGTAGGGTAGGGGTAGGTATAATTAGGCCAAATAAGATTTGAGTGATGATCGAGGGGGGCTAATTAACAAGCTTTGCAGGTACAAGTTACCTTGCTGCTTTTTTGGCCAAGTGCAAGCACTTGCTATACTAATTACTTTATTAATTCTTGTTCTTGCATTATTTAGATTCCTGGTTTAATTAATTTGATTGGTTATAATAGACTAGATCTGCATTAGCTATCTCCTAGCTAATTGGTTCAATGTTAGCATATATATGTGATTGGATCGATTCTAAAGGGGGGCCATGCATGGTTATTATACTTAATTAATGCCCATAACTTAAAATATGAAACTGATATTTTCATCTGGCCTGTGGAAAGCCGAAATGCATGGGTTTCGGATATTCCAAGTTCACGCAATTTTACAAACACATGAAACCAACACATATAACTTTGTTGCATCGCGTTAGTAAAATAGTGTTCGACTGAGTTCCGATTTTGTACACTTGAGTTAACAATCACCTTGAAATTCATTTAAATTCCTTAAGCTCGATAATATTTAATTTGAACACTCCCTTCATCCAAGTTATCAATCATTCCAAGTAATAATCATGTTAGTTAAATGATATTCATTAATTAGCAAGGGTTAATCAGTGAGGTGGTGGTTTGCAGGATGTTTACGAATTTTTTGAGATTGAGAAGTTATGTCAGAAAGCTTCACTGTTACAGCCAATGCGAGCAAGCGCCAATGTGGTCCCCTCGTCCGGCGTCACCGGCGACCACGTGCCGTCCCACCGATTCGATTGGATTTTCTAAAGCTACTTAACTTACTTTACAACGACGCTCAACTTGTGCTCTTCAAGAGCATTAAATAAATAAATAAATAAATGAAGGAAACAAATTACTCCAACGTCCAACCCTAATTTGTCTTAGTGGATCAGCCATTGCCATTTCCAGCCTCTCTGCCCTGCCAACTCTCTCTCTCTCTCTCTCTCTCTCTGCTTGCCCTTCCTTTTTCCTGCAGCTGCTCGCTACCTCCAGGCTCCAGCAGCTGAGCAGCAGGCCCGTGGAACGGAATCTGATTTCAAACTTCACCCACCTAACCTTGTTCCGTTTCCTCGTTCGTTTTTTGTGGGTTCCAGAACTCTGTAAGATTTTATAAATACTGATGAATAGGATAAATGAGGGTCAAGGTCGGAATAAGGATTTTTTTTTGGTTAGTGTTATAAACGCGCTGATTCGGATCGGGAAATCGTAGGAATCGACAAAGTAAGAATACGAGAGCGAGAATCGAAAACACGACACACGATTTACATGGTTCACTAACACGATGTGTGTTAGCTACGTCCACGGGCGAGAGAGAGTCAGTTTCACTATATCAAGGAGATTACAGATTACAGGGGGCGTTGCCCCTGGACCCCACTCGCTGACCGGGCAGCGAGACCCCCCGATTACTAGTCGTAGCGGCTGATAGTCCGATTCAAGTTACATCAACCGTTAGATCGGGAAATCAACATTATGTATGCATATGAAAGTTTTGGTAAATCTCGTCGATGGAAATAGATATTCCAAATTTGTTCGAGGAATAAATTTGGAACCAGATTCAAATTCATGAGTTCGATCCACAAATTCTACACCTCTTACTCTTATGCTTCCAAATGATAGATTGGACGGGGAAAAATTCATCATAGGTACGTGTTGGATCTAGGCAAGTAACTACCAACCCTACTACAAAGAATGAACAATGGTATTGGGTCTAGCTATTGGCTTGGATAAATTTTAAGTACGATTAAAATAAAATACTTGTTATACACATGTTTTATGGAAATCAACAGGCGCGGAGCTACTCAGAGAGTAGGGTGGGCCCCGGCCCACCCGGGAATAGTCTCGGCCCCTAGGACCGTAAGGATATTTAAATAAAATTTGGATAAGTAGCGCTCGACCTATATATTGTATCACATAATTATTATGTATTCTATTGGCAACTAAGCTAAATTTTTAGCCTAAAGCAAATAGGTTCGATCCACAACGACCTCATTTTTGCTTTAACTTCTTTTTGGACTTTATTATCTTAATTCTCCTCCACAAGGTCCTGGACCAAAGCAAATGGATACTCACTCCTTTTCATTCCTTTTGTTACTTTAATCCAGCTACAAATGAAAAAATCAACCTCTATTTAGTTCATTTGGAATTTTTAGCTCTTTATACAAACTATATGATCTTTTTTTTTATATCTATGTCGGAATGAACAGAAAGATTAGTGTCAAAGGAATTTTATTTTGTTGATAGGTTGATTTGTCTTCTTCTAACTCTTCCAAATTTATAAAGCTACATGTGATCGTGCATGTTTCCAGGTATAAAGATAGTGAAAATAGATCGCGAAACAAAATAAATGATGAGTTTCTTGTTAATGATTTAGTTATTTATAGTGAAAGAAAGATAGCTAAATTTTTTTAGTTCAGATGCTATTTTGAGAGATTTCAATGATCTCAAAGAACGTTGTAAACTTTCAAAATAGTTATTTTATTTTTATTTACATTTATCTATTTTCGACCCACCCGGTTTCGGAATCCTGGCTCCGCCCCTGATAATCAATATGTTTTCTTAGACTTTTTCGCGATTGAGTTTTCTTACATTAAGAAAAACCAATTGCTTAATCAGCAATAAAAAATGGGAAATATCAGCATTAAATATGACGGAAAAGTAGTGTATTAGAGATAGGAATACGATGTGAAAAATTGCAACAAAGAGTATATCAGACCGTTAGTGTAATGGTATCAAGCAGTATGACTGTGGTTCAACTGATAGTATAGAGGCGAAATATCATTGTTCAGATAAAGCAATACATTCAAATGATATGTAATACTAATATATGCAGTTTTGCCAAAAAATGATTGGTATTACCCGAAATCGCCAATTTATCATGTAAGTACTTATTATTTTAATAAATTAGTGTACCATACAGATTTCAATAGCAGTACACGATTTTTACAGTTTATTCTACGATATAATAATCCTTCCTTACAAAAATATCGTGAGATGTATAGGATAGAAAATTCTTGATGTCCTTGTTATTAGTCATAACAAAACTACATAATTTTCATTTACATCTCTATGTTATGAAGAAAGCAAATGATTTGAACTTACAAGCTTCACTTGTAAGTAATCTAAAAATGATTATTTTTCAGGATTAAAATCGTTTTTAGAGCTCTGAGCCACTTTTATTATATGGATTAAACGTACCATTTATTCCGTTCGTTAGACTTACGTAATTACTAAAGCAACCTTTTTACTAAAGTTGCAATTATCAAATTTCATTAGAATTCGAAATTCAGTACAATAAATTGAAGAACCAATAAGGAAAAATAAAACAAAAACAAACGGCACGGGTAACACGCGGCGGGATCTGATTGGTCCAGCCCTCCAAGAATCGTACGGACGCACAAGGTGACGTGTCCTCCTCTAAAGCTGTACGGACGCGATCCCATTGGTTCGTCAAGCCCTTACAGACTTACCCATCACTCACGTTGCTGTGGTTCAGAGTTTTCGTGCAACCAACCCATTTTTGTCTGTCCACTCCTCGCCCAGCCAAGAGGTTAATAAAAATTAAAATCCCCAGAACCGAAAAAGGAAAAGGAGTGCAAAAGTAAAATAATAAAAAAAGGAAAGTTAAATAATACCCCCGGCGGGCAGGCTGTCCGGGAGTAACTGGCAACCGACAGGAATGTTGTGTGTTTAAAAACCTCATACGCGTCGCTCCTCCACCGCGCAACCGCAATCCGCCGCTCCCCCGCCGCGCTGGATCCCGACGCTTTGGACACGCGTCGGTCAGCCTCCACCGTCGAGCCCGGCACCGGCGTACGTGTCAATTCGCAAGTGGGGCAGGCGTGAACTCAGAAACAGAGAAAAACTAGTATTTAAATCGACAATTGTTTTTTTATATAAAAGGCCACCACGAAAAAAAAAAGAAGAAGAGAGAGAGAGACCAATAATGGCGCTGGCGCATAGACTTCTCTCAGTGGGGCGTTTTTGTTTTCTCCTTCTTCCTCTATCTTTGCTTTTTATGGGAGGTGCTTGTTTTTTCACTTCCCTCAGATTACCAAAAAAAGAAAGAGATTAGGTTCTTCCTTTAAAACTCCTCTCCTTCCTCTTCCTTCTTCCCCTATCTTTGCTTTTGGCTGCTTCCAAGTTCCTCCATCCATCCCCTTACTTTCTCTTTTATGGTTGAAATTTTGTTTTATTTTATTATTATTCTCTTTTTGGTATAATTGATTAATTTCTACTAGTAAGGTAGGGTTATAGCTCCCCACTTCATCCAAACCACAGCTAGATAGGGCACTTGGTTGATTCATCTTCCAGGCAGAAAGAAGAAGGAACAAACAGCTCCCTAGCTAGGGTTTGCTTCTTACATCTTCTCCATCTGCATTTCTATCCGCCATCTGGGTTTTGTTCTATTTCGGAAGCTTTTTTTCTGGGTAGTTCTATTTCTGCTTTGACTATAGAGTGTAGAAATTTTTCTTCATTTGGGGTTTTGGTGAGATTTGCTTATATTCGCTTTCTGTTTTTGGGGGGAAAATCTCCGATCTTTTTATGCTCCATTTTGTGGGTTAATTTGTTTGTTTGTGTTTTTCTGGTCCGCTCCACCGGTTGGCTTTTTCCTTGACTTAGCTGATTTGGGTCTTCTGCTGTTTTTGGGCTCTGAGATTTTAGACTCTCCGACTGTGCAGCTTAGGTGATCGACGAAAAGCCGGACAGAGAGCGAGAGTAGGGGAAGGGGCTGAAACTAAAGCTAAAAGGAAAGAGAAAGCAAGTAACAATGGTGAGAGGGAAGACCCAGATGAAGAGAATAGAGAATGCGACCAGCAGGCAAGTGACTTTCTCAAAGAGAAGGAATGGGCTGCTGAAGAAGGCGTTTGAGCTCTCTGTTCTCTGCGATGCTGAAGTCGCACTTATTGTTTTCTCCCCAAGAGGCAAGCTTTATGAGTTCTCCAGCTCTAGGTACTCGCCCTCTCTCTTTCTCTACTCCTCTTCCTCATCATCATTACTTACTTTCCTATCCTTCCTCCTCGTGCTTTTCTGTCCCACTTTTTTTGGTGGTGTATTTGTATTGCTTGTGTATGGCAAGTACATGTAGCAGAAACCTGACAGTTTCAATTTATGGGGGGAAGGATGGATCAATATGCCTACAAATATAAGCTAGCAGGCCGGTTGCCAGTACGGGTGTCTCAGGCTTTTTCTCTGCCAGAAACTAAAGGGTCGTCCTTTCCTTTCCGGCTTTCCCTTTCTCGTGACATTTCCATACACTTAGTAATGTTAAGTTAACCTGGTCGAGAGATCATTCATTTATTCCCCATCCCCTTTTCTTCTCATATCATCTTTCTTTCCCAAATCGTCCTTTCGTGGTTCGGAGATCTCCATGTTTTAATGGTGTTTGTCGGAATACTAGTGCCGTTTATACCATAGATGCTGATTTCATCTTGACCATATATACTGCTTTCTCTTCTTGGGTCCATTGTCAGAGAGAGAGAGAGAGAGAGAGAGAGAGAGAGAGAGAGAAAGGTAATTAAACGGATGAAATACTCAATTTGGTATATTCTAGAATCCTGTTTCTATTTCCAGATAACCTCCCTTAATTTTTTTTGCTATAACGCACACCATCCATTTTGGATCCTTTGTTGTGTTCATGTACATCAATAGCACTGCTGCTGCCAGTGATGAAAGTAGCTCATATGAGAGAGAGAGGGAGCGAGAGGAAGAGGGAGAGAGAGAGAGAGCAGTGTACAGTGGAAGCAAGTAGACAAGTATGAATGGTTTGCTAATGAATGCCAGAAATTGCTGCAGAAAAGAACGGGACCATTTTGGTTGGTGGGTAATGGATATATTAGCACCCAAAAAAAAAAAATGGTACAAACAAAACAATTAGTAGGACAAATTTCGAAAAGTAAAAGGGTAAGAAAGAAGAAAAGAGAACATAGCTTGGTCCTCCCATAGGTGTGTGATAGAGCTAGGAGAGAATTTGGTTCTTGAATTTGTGGGTTCTGCACCCCAGCCCCAACTGCTTCCTCTCCTTCTGTACTTCTGTGACTACTTCTCCACCATACCATGTGATTGATTTATTACTTCCTTTGTGTCTGTTACTATAGTGGAAGTCCTTCTCTTATGAAAATATCTGGGATGATTTTGACTTGGCTATAGGAAGGCTTTCTTGTTGTTGTGTTAGAATGCTGTCTTCAAGGTGAACAGTGAACACCATTGACCATTGTATTGTGCATGTGTTGTGTGTTGTATAATGTATTGTTTGAGGAGGAAGTCCTATCTTTTTTCCTTTGTTCTTGATTTTAGTGTAGGAGTATGACTGACTGTAAGGTGGTAGTTTGATTTCTGAGCTGCCACCACTGCAGGTGATATCAAAGTTGAACCTACACAATAAGTTAATTGACTCAAAGAGGGGTATATATTTCTGCTTTGGCCTGCTTGGTTGGGCACTCCTCACTTGAATGCATGTCAGATTCTTGTTTCCTTTTGGGCAAGAGGTGTGGAAAATTGCCAAATATTTTTTGGCATGTGAAATTGATTGAGAAAATTGATTTTGTACATTCCTACTTATATTACGTTAGTTGAAATATGATTAGTCAATAATCATCGGTAAAAGAAATTTGATGATGTTATTCTTGACATAGAATGGAGGATATTAAGATATGAGTTAACATGTGTTGAATATTCACATCATATTATTAATCTTTTTACCTTTTTAGAAGAACAAAAATAAACGTGTGATGAATAACATTCGAAGCCCTCAATTGCATCATAATTTTTCGACATGTAGAGTCTTATCTTGCTATGCATAGCTTAATTAGGATGATGTTAAACAAACCCATCAGAAGATATTTTGAATTGAAACTGACTTCGATGGTTGTGTGCTTACCGGTCTTAATCAAAAGCATCTAATTAACTAACTTAGTTTACCTCGTCCTTAGCAATGTAATCAATGGGCGCTATGCTTTAATTATTACATCAAATTTGGGTCTTCCTGCTTTCTTCAGCACTTTAGCTTGTGAAACGAACTTTAAGCAGATGCACCAAATAACTTTTTGCTGCTGGGTATCAATCTCTGCAGAACACTGACTATAGCAATTTGATTTGATTTACTATATGTCAGATAGCCGTACTATATATGCATATGGCTTGAAATGGAAAAGCTAGCTTCGGCGTAACTGCAAAGATGTGCTGTCGATGTTGTAGAAAGTGTGACCATCTGTACGATGTTGTATACATTAATACTATGGCGATCATAAGTAAACATTAAAGTGTTCATCTAATGACAAAGAGCCTGGATATAAATTTTCAATCTATTATTAGATCTTGTAAAGTATTTGGTTTAGATCGCGGTATTTATTCTTGATTCACATTTCATAGTTATCATTAATTGTAAACAACACCACTCATAACTCGTAAAAGATACTTATATGTAAGATAATGTGTTTTGACTCACTTATTACCTCACAGAGAGGTTATAATATCTATTATTTCGTCACACTGTTCAATTTACAACATATAGTTTCAAACCTGTTATAGTCTACATGAGAAGGATGTTCAAGTATATAAATGACATAAACATTACTTTTATGTCATTTATAAACCTTATCTCATATATCATTACTTTTGCAAATGTCCAGCGTAGTGGAGAATACTATTTTCTAGCATGCATGAAACGTGCATGAATTATTGGATAGTACAATGCCACCTAAGGCACATTTCCAATATTCTGTCAACTTGCAAGATTTACTTATTGATCTAACTCATATTTTGTATCTGAACTGATTTTAGAGTTTTGTTAGACTTCTAAAAATGACTTATTGCAGTGCTTCTTAATAATTTTCTTTTACTGTACGGGTTACAAAATGATCCTTGAGGATATTATTTGCATAAACTTGGAAGTTGGGAACGAGGATGAATAGTTGAGATTCTCCTAGTAAAGCAGAATCCATTGGTTTAACAAAATGTGTGTTTGTATGGAAAGCCACACCTCCATTAAGATAGTAGTTACTAGAATCTCATGGGACTGCATCGTGTCACTTCTACCCTCGAATGTCATTTTCTAAGTTATCTTGCATGCACGCCTTTCAAGCTCAGTTTGAGTTCACTTGTTTCATTAGTTTTATTCAAAGTGGCAATTTAAAAATTACAAGATTAGTTCATAAGATAGGTCACAGGCTTGCGGATGGTCTTTGCTTTTGGACATCACTCTCTCGAGGAGTTCATATTTTTGAGTCTTGTGTTTCTGTTTAGTTTCTTTCATTCTCTTGTTAAAGATTTGGAAGTATAACTATCTTAACTTTAATCTGAAATGGGATTTCCAAGTGCCAACTCCTCAATAGGTGTACTCTTAGGTTATGCTTAGACTATGGATGGATCTTTTTCGGTTCTTAGGATGGCTGCATGTGATTATCTATGAATGGATCCTTAATTTTCACCATTTTAGTTTCTTTCATTACCTTGTTATATGTTTGTGTAAGTATAACTCTCATACTTTAGGTTGATAGCCATCAGGGTTTCTTGCTCCCAAATCATGCATTTTTTCTTTATGGAACTTGAAGGATCTGTTGGTCACATCTTCTTTCATTGCACTTCCAAGCAAGAAATTTGACATAGATCAATATCTTCGTCATTTCTATATATGCATGGCCTTCTGCTTTCTGGACTTGGCAGGAAAATGTGATTGCCTTTATGGATCTCATTCCACTATTGTGTCTGACTTGAGGTATTGAATGAAATGAGTAGATTGTTTGAGATTCTGTGAGATTAGTCGATAATATAAAACATGTACAAGAATATTCATATATTTGATTCTTTGTGTTTCTCCTCGTGCTCGCTTCTGGTTCTATGACGTTATATGGCTGTTTCATTTTTCCGTTCAACTAGGTTAGTTACTCATGTTTTAGGTAGTCACACATTTCTAGTATGAAGAGTTTGTCTGCATGGGTTGGTATACTATTCACGAGTCACTTCTTGGCTTTCAGTATCAGCAAAACAATAGAGCGATATGAGAAGAAGCAAAAGGATAGTGAACCAGGGAGCAAGGGCTTTGAAGATAACACACAGGTTATCAAACTAAGTTACCGACTTTGGAAGTTGGGGTTTTCTAATGTCTTTGCCTTCTGTTAATCTGTGTGTGCGTGTATGCATATACAGAATGACGACAGCTTCAGTATGGGAAAGAAGATAGAGCAACTCGAAGTTTCAAAGAGGTGATCGAGCAGCTAGCTGCATGCCCTAGCTAGCTAATTACTATTGGTCTGGGTAGACTACTGGCGAAACCATTGATCATAGTATAATATTGTATAACTAACTCCCATATGGAATTTCCATTTCCTATTGGCAGAAAGTTAATGGGAGAATGTCTGGAGACATGTTCCATTGACGAGCTCAGAAAGTTAGAGTGCCAGCTTGAGAGAAGTTTGAGCAGAATCAGAGCAAAAAAGGTAACGACATAGCTAGGTAGCTAGCTAAATTTCTGTGTCGTCACCCTTTAGTGTTTTCTCGATATACATAGAAGCTAAATTCTTCAACGATGCATGGTTTATATCTACATTGCATGCATGCGGATTGGGATTTCAGCTAATTAAGCATTTTATAGCATACGTATATATGGACCATTTGATACCTTTTTCCCATTTTGGGCTCTCCAAATCACCCTTTCAGACCCAGCTGTTTTTGGACCAGATTGAGAGGCTAAGGCAAGAGGTAATTGATTAACTATATAAGTCCTCAATCTCTTTTACTCTCCACAATAGCACAATTATCCAATTAATGAGAGCAAACTGTATTGACATTTCCAGGAGAAGACCCTAATGGAAGAAAACAGAAAGCTGCGGGAGAAGGTACATATTATAGCACTTTTTCATACTTGTTAGTCCCTTGAGTTGTGTAGAACAAACTTATTTCAAGAAAGAAAACAATAGAACATGAGAATTTTACTTGCCTGAACTCAAAATATAGAGTAAAATAACTGACTATTTCCCTGTGTGAATTAAGGGAATTATGTATGAAAATTGGTCATTTGACTTGAAGAACCATCATCATAATCTGCTTTAATTTTGAACCATACCACCCTTCCAGTGTGGAATGGAACCATGGAGATTCTCATCGAGCAACAAGAAGCAGCAACTACTAGACAAGACAATCGTAGCAGAAGCAGCAGCTGGAGAAGAAGAGGAAGAAGAAGAAGAAGAAGAAGAAGGGAGAGGAAGCAGTATTGATGATGTGGAGACAGAGCTGTACATAGGGCCAGCACCAGACAGAAGAACAGCAACCAAAACTAATGCATGCCTTCCTCCTACACACTACTAGAGTCAGTACTCCTCCAGAACTTCCCTATATAACATATGATGATCTCGAACCAAAAAGACATCAACATTATGATCCCGTACGTGTTATCCTAATTAACTGGGTTTTCTCCCCGCTTTTGTTTTGATGGAATCCAAGTATATCCATTGTCGTCCCAATAAGAACATTCTGTCCCCTAATCACTATAGCTACCAAGAGGCAAAGTTGCCATACCAAAGCATATGTTTGGGCGGTGTAAGTGACTGTTAAGACCATTGATCACCACCATTTGTATCCGAGTGAGAAAGGTGTTGTTTTATGTATATCATATCAATGGTTGCTGGACATATATATTGGCATTCCTGAACAGTTAAGTCTTTGATATATGGTTGTAACAAAGACCTCTATTTCTCATAAATAACTACTTTATTGGGGTTAAATATTACTAGATAATTGGCCCGAGCGTTGCTTCGGAATCTTGTACAATTTTATTTTTGAAATTTTTTATATGTTGTGATATTAGTTTTGTAAATGAACCTTTTATACTTATGGTCTAAATCATTTAATATAATGAACTATGCAATAATTTGATTGGATGTAATAGATACATAGGAAAATGAAGTTTGAGTTATAGAATGAATAAACCTATTTTGTTTTGGTGATATCTTTTTAAATATTCGATTGGAATTATGATTGTACATGCAATCTACAATGCTGAATTAAAAAAAGTTGGTCGTCATGTGTTTTTTTTTTCTTCTTCACTTCTCTGATACATTTCAAATTCGATTGTGTTGGAACAAATAAACTATTATTAAAAGCTTAGTCCATAAATATGTTACACAAATGTTAAACTATGATAGTTCTTTTTAAGTAAAACTCAAAATACATATTTACATGATATTTACTTAATGAGTTTATAGTTTTCCTAACTTCACCTTGACGTTTTTTGAATAGAAGACTATCTATTACCTAAAATTTAGATAGCATGTGCCATTCTACAACTTTTGTCTAAAAGTGAACCTATTATTTTCTTAATCTTAATCAAAAAATCCTCTTTCCTCTTTCTGATGACATAACTCCATAAGTTCCCTTCCCTATTCTTGCATTATTCACCAAGACCAATGACATCCCACTACACGTGGAGAAGATGAATAATTGATGGCAACAAATGTCACTTTATTAGCTCCATAACCTTTTCTCTTTTTCATTGTTGTTCTCACTGTTGTCATTGTTCTGCTTCCTTTTATACTTTTAATCTACAATTGCCGATTGCAACTCCATTCCCATGCAGTTCACTTTTAATCACTTCTAAGTCTCCCTACCTTCAAAAAATTAGCAGCTTACCCTTGATCTCTTTTATTGAGATTGAATCCATAACTTCGACCACCCCCACCTCCCAACTTGTATCTGATTGGCTTTCTAAATTTGGCCAGCATCAAGAGTTCTAAATGAATTAAAGAGAGAAGACCTGCTCCTGGTATTGATCGGTTGCTCTTGGTCCCTCTCCTCTTCATCTTCATGTCGAACAACTTGTGGTGGCTTCTTCCAATTACTCTCTCCTTCTAATTATTTGCCCTCTTTTTATGATAATGAAATCTCATATGCAGGAAAACAGAGTGCCCATAGTTCGTCAATTATCCACAATGTGAATTGAAAGGCATTGGTACCGTTTGGGGAATGGACTATGAAGCAGCTGGAGAATTCATTATTCAACGACGACAGTCAATTAATTGAACATGCAACCCACTGAACAGTTACTTACATCGATGAGATTGAGGGATCGATTGGAATCAGTGATGGTCGTGAAACTGAAACCTTGGAATTCCCCTTCTCTTCCCCTACCTCGCTGATTCTATGATATCTTCGATGATTGTTGCCAAAACTGTTGGGTGGCTGTTGCCGTTTGGGGAGGAGGTTGTGTCAAAGTAAAGAGGCACGGAGCGGCAGAAAGAGTGGGGATAATGGAACGTTGACGCTTCGATTCATCGGCTCCAAGGGATCAACAAAATCCATATCGAGCCCTAGGAATATTGCCGCTTCGTTGCTCTGGAGGACAGGTACTGCTGCGATTGTCAAACAATTGCCATTATCGAATACTTCATCTACGGACCGCCGGGGCAGAGGGGGAAGAATGGGATGTCGGCGCTTCGAGGTGGGGAGAACAGGACATCGACGCTTCAATGGGAACGACGGAGGGGCAGAAGTAATGGGGTAAAGAGAATGAAAATCGAAATGAATTGCTTCTTAGATCTTGGTGTCTAGATTTCTCCACTTGCTTCTTCCAGATCCGAGAGAGTATCACTTGATTCCACCGGGAAACGAAACAACTTGTGTAGCCGTCAGGCAGTCTACGCGGGGACACCAAAGTAAGAAACGGTGGGGCGAAGGGTCGCAGAAGGCTTACGGTACACCCGACCACAACCTACTGGACCTCTTAAGTATGCTTGTGGCTTTCTTATACTAATATATGTTGGGAGAAAGAGACATGATTAGAAGTTGAGTGAAGAGGTTCATTGTGAAGTCTGTTATTAGGGGTGTTCAAATGGTTTGGTTACTATGGTAACCGTTTTAACCGGTACTGTTTGGATAATTTGGTTTGGTAATTTGGATAATTGGTTTGGTTTGGTTAAAGTTTTTAGCTTGTTTGGTTTAGGTGGTTTGGTTTGGTTTCAGACACTCCTAACCAGTCAAACCAAATTAACCAGTTAAGTAATTAGCCATATATCTAACATATATTATATACACATACTTAATACTTTGCATAACCACTCAAGAGTTAACGTTCATCCCTTTTAGACTCATAAAATATAAAGCTCAATATTGCTCATATAGTGTATATTTGTATATGTTAAATGTAGACCACAACATATGGACGCCTAATTTAGATAAATTTCATACATTATGATGGATGAAAACTTGAAAAGAAGGTCATTTCCAGCCTATGATAATTGCTAAGAGACTAAGTCAATTTACACAAACACAACAATTCATTAACCCATACCATTGTCATAAATTTTTGTTAGGTGAATACTTCTATACTAATCGTAAGATAATTGTCTTAGTTGCATGTATTTTTGTTAAGGGTCAACTATAACTACGGGTTGGTTGTTATGTTTTATTCATTATATAAATTGTGAATTATTGTATTAACCGAAAAATTTTCATCGTCAAGGATAATGTGATTTTATATTGGTTAATCTGGTTAACCAATTAACCAAACCGATTAAACTTTAGTTTGGTTAATTTGGTTGTTGTATTAGTTTGGACGGTTTGGTTATGATATTGTATTCCATGATTAATGAAATTTAGCCTTATTTGGTTTGGTTATAACCATGGTAACCATTTGAACGCCCCTATCTGTTATACGTTCTTTGGATGAATTTCACTGTGGACTTGTGTTGTATTGTAGCTAGCCTTATTTTCTTTCCGCTTCTTTTACTAGTTAAGTTGACTCTTTATTTTTTTCTTTGATCTAATAAACAGTTGGTATTATAGCTCAAACTAAGGAGCATTCATGAGGCACACCCAAAGGCCAGAGTTTTACATCAGAGAAACTCCTCTACAAATGCAAAAACCACTATAAACTGCACACTAGTAGTAAATCAAGGATGTTACCATTCAGCCAAAATGTGTTTGCTGTGAGTCTGCCGCCATCTCAACTCGTGCCAATGAGTATACATATATACAATATAAAGCACAGAAACACTCCTTCTCGCCTTGTCATGGACGTGTGTGTAGCTCTTCTGCCACAGGGTATCCGGTAATATAAGTGTTTTCCGGCGAGAAAACTTGCGTTGAAATGAGATTAATGCACCTTTAACTTCTTTGGGCAACGATTACTAAGACACGACTCACACCTCTTCAAACAAAGTTCGAACGAGGGTGTTTGATTGATGGTTTCTAAGAACGAGATCTAAATTAAATTACTTCTACTCCTATGGAGGTTCGACGAGAGCTCCAAACTACGAACTACATCTATGGCTACATGATAGAGAAAAGGTAAAGGATAAACTTGACATGTGTGTCAGAGTGTTGGTTTTGGAACCCTTGTCTCTGTCGACCCCTCTTCCTATTTATAGCCACGAGGAGGTAACCACAAAAGAAAACCGCTTGTTGGATAACTGCTACAAAGAACCGTTCCCCCTGCTTTGGTGGAAAACCGCCTCTTGGATAACTCCCAAAAAGAACCGCTCCCTGTTTCCTCGGAGTGGTGGTTACTCCTTCAACCGCCTAGGTGCCTCTCTTGGAACCGTCGTGGGTTTTGGAGTGCGGTACGCCTCATAGCTCACGGTTATGGAATTCTTTACTCATGTCCATGGCCCTCTTGGACTTAGTCACTAGTGATATAATACTCCACCACCATGTCATTCTCCTTCGTGTCCATGGCCTCTCTCGTGAGGCGGCATGGCCTTCTCATAATTATAATATGGCATGACCTCTTCGTTCGCGCCCATGGACCTCTCAATCATGGACATGACCTCCCTCGTGAAGCCACGAGTCCTTCCCATACTTACAATATTCGAACTTGGTCATGAGGCATCATTGGTCCTTCCTGTGACGCGGCATGACTCTCTAGATCTCTAGAGGGACATGGCCCTCGCACATCCTTCTCCATACTTAGAATATTTTCAGTTATTTGGTTTAGATCATGAGGCGACATGGCCTCTTCATTCACGACCATGGACTTCTCATTCATGTCCGTGGCCCTTTCCGTTAGAGGGCCCCACATGGCTGGCATAGCCTTCTTCGTTGAAGTGGCACGTGCTTCTCCTTGAAGCGGCATGTACCTCTTTCAGACTTAGTTTGTTTTTCACTCATTCGGTATTGGTCGTGGGGCGGCATGTGCTCCTCAATTTTTAGATGGACATGGCCCTCTTCGCTGAGGCGACATGTCACTCTCCAAACTTAGTGGCTTGGGCTTAAAATTAATATCCATAAGGCCCAACTTAAACAATATTAATTATTATAATGGTGTGGACTTCTAAACTCATTGATTATCTTGTGACTCACCAATGTGGTACAAGACAAATTTTATGGTGTAAACAAATGCCCCCCAACTACTTAGTGCATAAAGATTATGGACTAAGTAGTTGAGACCAACTTGACCACTTATATCCCTTCTCTAACTGGTCCTCGAGTAACAAGGCTTGTCTCTACTCACCCATGACCACAGGTTCAATAAAACTTGAAATTTTTTCCTCTAAAAAACACCATGGTACCTACGTCTTTCAAGTGGCTAGCTATGCCGCCTATGTTGTCTTCATTCATGTGTAGCCACGAGAAACCCTTGCCTTGTTGGCTTCTCATCAACAATTTAGTGAGGCCCCTACACTTTTCTTATTTTACATGCTCAAGCTGGCCATCACTCATCTCCAACCCACGATGCCCTTAGGTTGTGGCTAACATCCAAACT